GTTAGACTGGTAATCACCAAGAAAACACAAATGCTAGCAAGGATTCAGGGAAAAAGGAATCCTTATGTTCTGTTGGTAAGAATGTAAATTAGTACAGTTGCGTGGAAATCAGTATGAAGGTTCCTCAAAAAACTAAAAACAGAACCATCATATGATCCTGCTGTGTATACTGGACAGACAGCCAAAGGAAACTAAGTCAGAACACATTAGAGATACCTAATATACCCATGTTTATAGCAGTGCTGTTTTTAGTAGCCAAACTATGGAATCAGACTAGGTACCCATCAACCAATGAATGGATAAAGAAAATGACATATATACACAATGGAGTATTATTTAGGCATGAAGAACAAAAGTACGTTATTTGCAGGGCAAAGGATGGAACTGGAGGTCATCGTGTTAAGCAAAATAAGCCAGACTCATATGTGGACTCTAGATCTAAATAAAAAAAAAATGTATGTATGATATGAATGTAAAAGGAAAACTGTTGGTGGGGGGCGGGGGGAGGTAACCAGCAAGAGGGTAAAGGAGATAAGGGGAAGATGATGAGATGAAGATAACAAAGTACATTATGTACATGCATGAAAATGAAGGAATGATAAAACAAATGAATCCCATTAAAAATTTAAAAAGGAGTTGGGCAAGGTGGCTCAAGCCTATAATCCCAGGCATTCTGCAGGCAGAGATCAAGAGGACCTCGGTTCAAGGCTAGCCATGGCAAAAAATTCATGAAGCCCCCATCTCAACCAATGACTGGGTGTGGTGGCATGCACTTGTCATCCCAGCTATTCAGGGAAACATAAATAGGAACATTGCAATCTAGGCTGGCCTGGGCATAAAGTTAAGACCCTATCTCAAAAATAAACAAAGCAACACAAAAGGGCTGGCAGTGTGTCTCAAGTGGTAGACAGTCTGCCTAACAAGCACAAGGCCCTGAGTTCAACCCCCTAGTACTACCAAAGAAAATTGTAAAAAAAAAAAAAAAAAAAAAAAAGGGGGGGTGGAGGAAGAATAAGAAAGTAATGGAGGTGGTGAATATGATCAAAATACATTATATACATATATGGAAATATCACAATTAAACCCCTTTCTACAAGTAACATACACTTAAAAAAAAGTAAGCATATTGAGGGATCATTTAACTAGCAGATGAAAATATTCACACATAAAACAGAATGTTCTTAAGACCCATATAGGGAAATTGGGGGTGTAAAATATAAAGGTCTTACAGTCTTCTGGGTGTTAGAAACTAACTTATGACAGTCTGTGGCAAAATTATTATAAAGTGGTTCTAAGGCAAATCAAGTATCAGATTTACTGTATTTAGCAAGGGAAATCAAAATAAAAATCACTATTCTCAAATACTTTATAAATTCATTGCAAATTTTAATGTTTAAATTATCCTAGTCATTATACATACTCTGAAAACAAGTTGTTTCTCCTTTCCACAGATTTTCTTTAGTAACAAAACAAAACACAGGGGTGATGGTCTTAATGTTCTCATTTTTAAAATGCTAACACAGCCTTTTGTGGAATTCTTATCCAGATCTAAAATTCCACAGTTAAAATAGTCCCAACCTAACACTTCTTTGGAAGACCACTTGGCCGGATCAGACAGGGTGTCATGTGTCACAGCCTGCCAGTATACATTCCAGATGGAAAAAAGACTGCTATCCACAACTAACTCTGTCCAAAGCTGCTATTAATTACAAAACAAAGCTCTAAAACCATATGTCTATAGTACATTTTACAGCCTATCATGTACAAAATAGTTCAGATCAATGTACATTTTTGACTTTTTCACTATATATACATATGTTATCATATGGGGAAAAATGCGATTTTGCTCACTACCCAAAAAACATTTTATGACCTACTAATGAGGGAAAATTTAACTTGGGCTTCTGATAAAATAAAAAATGCCGTGACCATCTGGCTTCAGTATTAAACTTTCCAAAACCAACTTTAGAACTGGATTCCTGGACTCACAGTTATTGCTTCTTACCAAAAGCAAAATTGTAAGATATAAGTTCCTCAGCAAGTAAGATTCTCTAGAAAGTTCTCTATTTTGATGAAACAGTACTTTCCAACTGTTTCTTTTTTTTCTTCCAACTGTTTCATTTAATGTTCAAATATACATAGAAAACAATTTCCTGGAAAGAAGCAATATAAATAGAAACATTTCATCCAAGCATAGCAGCATACATCTGTGATCTCAACACTCACGGGGCAGTTACAGGAAGACAAGTTGAAGGCCATCCTAGGCTATAGTGAGACCAGCTCAAAAAAATAAAAATTTTAAAAGCCAAGTACAATGGCTCAAACCTTGAATCTTAGCTATTCGGGAGGTTGAGATCAGGAAGATCAGGTTTCAAGGTCACCCCAGGCAAAAAGTTCACAAGACCCCATCTCAACCAATGGCTGGGTGGTGGCTTGCTCTTGTTATCTAGCTACTTGGGGAAGCATCAATAAGGGGATGGAGGTCCAGACCAGGCATAAAGCCAGACACTATCTCAAAACTAACCAACACAAAAAGGACTGGCAGAGCAGATCAAGTGTTACAGTGCCTGTCTAGCAAGCAAAGGCCCCAAGTTCAACCCCCATTACCACCAAAAGGAAAAAAAGAGAAAAAGGAGAAACAGTTCAAAATTCTTACAATGTGGTAATGAACTATGTATCTTTACACAGTGTTTTAGCTCCATTTTCTTTCTTGATGTCACTATAGCATGTACTATAACTATTTGAGTGTTCTTTCTTCAAATTCTTCTTTACATAACTTGTAGAAAACTTGATGATGCAGTCATAATGTAAGCGCTCCACAGCAATCACCCTGAGTTTTTAAAATACTCATAACTACTGAGTTTATACATTTAAATGTACATTTACATGGAGGAATCACACAACTTTTACAGAAAAAAGAAGAAACACGAGAAGCAGAGTATCCATCTTCCTGGCATTGTAACCCACAGACAAAGCAAAGTCATCTTAGCATCCCCAGCTGGGTTTTCAAAAACTAGTCTTTATGGTTAATTTCCAACCTGACTTATTAGTAGCTTCCAAGCAACTAATACATATAAGTGGGTTTGATTTTTGCAATCCAAATACTCTGGTACTACATTCCTTCATTAGGGAAATAAAATGTAAAGGTACATTAGTCAATTATATAGCTTTTATCAGAACCTAAAAAATATATTAGAGGAAAAAGGTGTCTTTTGTCTTCTATTCTGTAACTTATCTACATTGAATGTATGGTATCTGTGGAATATTAGGTTTGTTATGTTTTTTTTGGTTGTTGTTGTTTTTTTGCGGGGTCGGGGGAGGAAGGGTTTGAACTCAGGTACTCTATCGCTTGAGTCATACCTCCAGCCCTTCAGGTTTTCTTTTTAAAGCATCCCTTCATGGTGAGGTGCTTCAAATATATTCATTCAATTCAACTATGTTTTTGAGTGATGGCTCCATGTCCACAGTTACAGGTTCCAGGAAATCACACCTATCTGCAATCTTTCTTTCGAAAAGAACTTATAATGTGTATATGCTTAATATTAGAAAAATGAGAATTAGCACAGAAAACAATCAGCTACTATGGGTGGAAGTGCCAGAAGGCCTTTTCTGCAAACTCCAGGGTAGAATTTAGCTGAAAGTGAGGAAGAAATTTCCAGCAACTAGGGCCACACATTTGCCTCCACTGAGGTTTTTGACTGGTATAAGTCAGCAAGATCCTAATTCTAGGTCAACACAGAAGTATGGAGAGGCAGAGGAAGAGTCTAGAATCAATTGCCAAAAGGACAGAACAAGTATCAACCCAATTTAAAATTTTACCATTGGGTGGAAATATAACATACAGAAACAGCATTTCTAATAAAGAGGTTCAAGATGTCACAGGAAAGATAGGGGGAAAAAAAGCCCTCTGTTTTCTATGAGAAATTATTTACATTGATCATTCCATCTATTGTCAGGCTGCAAAGTTAGTTATATCTAACCTACTAAATATTTATCGTAACAGAACCTCAAACAAAAACAGGATCCATCTTGAAAATATGAGACATACTGGTCAACTTCATTCCCTAAGTGTGATAAATATAAAGTTTGTCTTCTCTTATACCTCGAAGGCCACACAGTGCCGATCTCTGATAAATTTCCTGGTATCAGGTATTCTGCCTTGTCAAATGACAAAATATCTGTAGGAATACTCATGCCATTTGGCATGCATAGCCATTAGCTAGCCATTTTACCAGCTATTATTTCACAAATTATCCTTCCTGGATACTTTAGGTGGTACTGTTTTCACTGAGTTCAACGAACATTTACCAATAAGTGCCTAACACAGTCAGGCACTGAGGTACACAGATGAGTAAGACTCAATTCCTGCTCATGAGGAGCTTACACTCTGATGCTCTGGTTCTTACCTTCAAGAAAATGGACTTCTACCGACACAAATTTTCAGGCTCCTCAAATCCCATTAATTCACAGACTCTATAGAGAGCTGAGAATCCCAGATTTGGAACTCAACACAGTGCAAAAGAACAAAAAGAAGTCCACAGCAAGTTTTTCACACAGGAAAACTGAGTTATAATTAGACAAGGACAGAATTCCACAGCACACAGATATAAATTCTACAGCATCCAGGACTTCTGCCAGCAAAGTGGGTCTTGGAAAACAGAAACTCCAACAGTAAGAAGGACGAGAAACTAAAGCATGATGTCTGTCAGTCCAGGCACATGGCACTGAATGTTCCAACTGCAGAACACTACTGGGGCCTCAGTCAGTCAGGTTCTTACCATAGTTAAAAATGAAAAGAGGAACAACCAATTTTGAGACAATGAGCGGAGAACTCAAGGGGACCAGATTTCATTTTTTAAGGATCAGTCAGTCAGTTCACTGAGTCCCTAAGAGGTAAAGTTAAGTCAGCGTGTTCCTTGTGTCACAGGAGAGAAGGGAGGGAAATGAGTGCACACTGAGTTACGGGTAATTATGGTTTGCAGTGTGCTGTTTTATGTTACCTCTGCATCATATCTGACTGCAGCAGAGAATAATGAAAAGGCATTCTCCACGGTAATCCCTCGCTTGATGATGTGCTGACAAAGCTTTTTCAATCTGTTTTCACAGTAAGACGTGGCCAAGTCCAAAAGACCTGAAAGTAAAAAATGTGGGAGGCTTAATCTAGTTTACAGTAACTTATCATAATTGATAAACATACATATCTCACTTTGATGAACAAACTTAGGTAAGTCAGAAGCTTCTTAGTGGATAATAATTTTGAATTTGAGTAAATTTTTTTACTCCCTATCTCTCCCATCTCCAAAAACATACCTCGCCTATATTCACGTTGTACTCAAAGGAAGAGAAAAAAATGGAATTCCCCTTCATTTTGTTTCCAAAATGTTAAAAAAATTTATTAACTTATACTTCAATATTAAAAAATTTAAGTCCAATTGTAAATAAGCTGTCTATAATTATTAACCACGAGTAGTACTGTTTTTGAAGATGTTTACTTCAAAGCTTTGTTTCAGAAGCATGTAGAAATCGATACACCTGAAACCTTTTACATGTTACTAATCCAAGAACATGGGAAAGACCTTCTTGACCATGACCTGGCCAATCCCAATATGGCTAAAGTACCTATGGCATCTTCAGGTGGCAGATCTACGGTGTCTGTGTAGAGGTACTGAAGAAAGGCACGATACACCGGGTAAGAAAACTGGTCTATTTCTATCACTTCCTTCATGTCCTCATTCCAATAGGACTGGAACATGGATCGAAAGTGCTCACACCTAAATAAGAAGCAAAGCTTAATTCACTATGGTGATGAAATCAGAAAAAGATACTAGACGCATCAACTATCACATCTGGGCCCCATATATCAGGATCATGACTCTTCACTTAGCACTGAAAAATATTCACCATGCAAGATTTTTTATATACACCTTTATGTACCCTCACTTTTGCTTTTGATATCTATTAAATATTTAAAATTATGCCCACAAGTACCTAGTAACTCAAAAGCACCACTGTTTCCATTTGACTGTCCTCATTCTGATCAAGTTTTTTGACTTACTGCTTTTTTAAAATACACATACAGAAATTCTTTTTTTGGGGGGGGGTGGGCAGTGGGACTGGGGTTTGAACTCAGGGTTTTGCACTTGCAAAGCAGCTACTTTACTCCTTGAGTTATACCTCCAATCCATTTTGCTCTGGTTATTTTGGAGATGGGGGGTCTCACCAACTATTTGGCTGGCATCAAACATTGATGCTCCAGATCTCAGTCTCCCAAGTGGCTTAGATTACAGCTGTGAGCACCAGGGTCTGCCTATAAATTCATTTTGAACTTGATGTGAACTCAAGACCTTGAACTTGCTAGGCAAGCACAGTACCACTTGACCCACACACTGTGTTCCCCCCAGCCCTTTTCGCTATAGCTATTTTTCAGATAGTGTCTCACACTTTTTGTCCATGCAGGCCTCAGACTTCAGTCCTACTACGCCTCCCACACTGCTTCAATTCTATGGGGATGCACTACTGTTTGTTGAGATGAAGTCTCACTAACTATTTTGCCCAGTTGGCCTGGAACCATGATCCTTCCAAACTCTCTTTCCCAAGTAGCTGGGATTACAGACTTGAGCCACTGCCAGAAACACATTTTTAAGCTAAAGGCTGGAGATATAGCGGTAAAGCACCTATCTAGCATGCATAATACCCTGGGTTCAATCCCCAGAACAGCAAAAATATACAAATGAAGAAACAAAATAAAAGAAATTCAGAAATAAGAGTTCAAAACTTAACTATATATTAACATCACTGAAATGATTCATTTGATTTTTGTTTTATGCAATTAGCACATTTGTAAAACTGGTTTAAATGTTCACTGGATTATATTAAGCTGATTGTTTATTATCTGATATGAAGATTTTTCTTCCTTTCTGAGTCATCTCCAAAGCAGCCACCATTCTCATTCTGTGTCTTCGCTTGGCCTTCTTCTCCTCCCTGATCTGCCACAAACTTATTTATAAAACACCCCATATTCACTAGGATAGTCATATATTTCAAGAAAACCTGGGCGGGTCTTTTTGTACTGTATCTACATGTACAAATCCACGTGCATGAGGAACTGATCTCTGGATATTGGATTTTCTTATAAAAATCATCTTTTCAAATTTGCTTAAAGTGAGAGATAGTACAAAGAGACAGTATTTTCAAAATGCATTCAGACTAATAAAATAATGGCTCCAGTTACATAATTACTCCATCTGAGAAGCTTAAAATATATAATTTTTCTAAGCAAGGAATAATGGATGTAAAGGGTCAAAAAACTATATATGAAAGGAATAGAGTGGCTGACCACAGGGTCACAGACAGAAACATTTTCAGTTCATCTTTTCAACTAATGCTGTAGTTCCGATATTTATCGACTTAGGCAATAAATGACATATGGCTTTTTGGATATCTTCAAACATATTATTTTACAAATAGGTTCTTAACAAATTTCCAAAAAGACTTGTAAATAACCAGTTTGATGGTCTGATTTTATGTGCCACTCTTGCTGTAATGGAAATCTGAATTATTACTAAATGTACAGTTCCCTCACATTTATATAAGAACTCCTACCATTTACCATATACAAAGAACTTTTCTTTAATTGGGAATTAGATGCCCTCTGAGCTAGAAGCCCAGTATTCCTGACCATGAACTGCCTGGGAAAAATGAATCTTTAGTAGTACAAGAGGATATATTCTGACATTTACTGATAATCTCTTATATTTTTTAACCATGTAAATAAAGCTTCCTATAGAAATGTTTGTATGTTTGTTTTGCAGTGTTGGGATTGAAATCAAAGCCTTAAACATGCCAGCATACACAAAAAACTCCTTGGTAATAAATGCATCGATACTATGTACAAAAATATTATAACATTTCTCTCTACTGCTATTTCTTAATAGTACCCATTTTGTAGAATAAATAATAGGAAAATGGCAAAGAAAGTAAAGTTATTGATGTATCTAATTTACCTGATTTTCAACACAGCTTTATGGACATGAATATATTTCCCATCAATTCGAAACTTCAGATCAGCAGTTTCTGGACTATCAAATTCTTTTTTCAGAGACTCTGCAACTGTTAAAAAGTCTTCCTGCTCTGAAGGCAATGGACACACTATGAACAAAGCTCAGGCGACAACACATGAAAAGACTTCAAAAGATAACCATTAGCACGGTGCGTAATTAAATTAAGTTTTTTCAAGAGTTTATGCTTTATTTGGCAAATCAATTTCACAATATTAAAATAAGTATGCTGCACCTATAAACCACAAGAAGGAAGAGGGGGAGGAGGGGAAGGGAAAGCCAAATACCAGTCTTACATGCTAGTTAGACATGAGAAATGTATGCTTAAAAAAAGAAGTCACAGGTAGCAATCAATCTCTAAAAACGTGAGTTTTCTACTAAGACTAAGAATTTAGCAATGTTCCTTGACTGAAACATTGAGAACATCTCTGGTCTACTTTGGGGGAGTTTCATGGGGTTGGCATATTCAATTAAAGGGGCCCAAGAAACCACCTTACGACCAAGCAGGAATGCTAAAGCAGTCATGTTCTTAGGCAGAGAAACTTTTCCTAACTACCTGATATCTAAACATCCCTGCTGGCCCTAAAAATTAATGAAAAAACAGTAATCCTTCCACACTATCTAAAAACAGAGCAAATGTGCCTAGTAACAACATATACACAAAGGGAAGTTTTAGAGGAACAAGCGGCCACACTATCTGACAAGAGCTGCTATAATGAGGCTACATAAACAGAGCCACATTATTCTGAATGAAGTAAAGGCAAATGTGGATTCATGTGACACTTGTGTTCTTTAGATGTAGGAAGGAAGGAAAAAGCAGAAGACAGCTAACAGAAAAATTAAAAATTCCAAAGGTCCTGACCGGGGCTCTGAAAAAAGCTACTATAAATAGAGACAGGTTTCCACTGTGACTTAAAAAGCTCAGCTGTTCAAGTTTGGAAGAACCTGTGCTGCTCAGCAGCCTGGTGTCACCAGGGCAACTCCAGAGGAGGGACACTGACTACATCTAGGTTTAAACTTAACAATCCAGCCCTGTGGATTCAACCTATAGCCCTCCCACAATCCCACAATACAGAGCTACACTGGCTGTGGAAGAAAACTGAAAATTTCTTAAGAATTCACCTTTCTCTGACCCTGCAACCTGGATCACTGCAGAACTAAGATGGGCTGAGTGTCCAGAGGTATGGATGGCTACCCACCCATTCAAGAACACCTAGCCACAGGGTTGAGATGACCCTTTCTCCTTCTTCGCTTCTGGTGACAATTTTGATACCTCCTTTCAAAGAAGAAATAGTCCTCAGAGGTGTAAATTCATCATTTGACCCTCTTCCTAACATTCAGCAGATATCACAGCTAAGAGGAAAAAAAACAACACTTCTGGTTTTTTGTGGCCAGAAGGAAAAGAAACCATCTAGGAGATACAGTCAGTGACCACATTTTTCCAAACTTAACATTAACAACCAGGACAGGCTGGAGGTATACATCAGGTGGTAGAATGTCTGCCAAACAAGCACATGGCCCTGAGTTCAAACCCAACTACCAGGAAGGGGAAAAAAAAAAATCCAGGACATTGTTCTAAAGTATTGTCTGTGTGTTTTAGGATGCAAGAATTTGGGAAAGCCTATCATTAACAGGCTCAAACTGAACAGGCTATGGAAATCTCAGGAGGTTGTATGGACATGCTTTGGCTCTGTGTGCTATACATACATACTGTGACCGATTATGGCCAAATGGTCCCTACTCAGTCATAAATTTTTTTCTAATCAAAATATTTATTACAAACATATATTGTATTATAGCTTAAGAAGATGGAAAAATAAATTTAAAGTCAATGTTCAGTTTGCTTCATTTCAAGTTCAGTGGCAGCTGAACCTTCATGAACATATTCTTGCCCTCATGACAATGGGGACCAGGGGTGAATGCTTAGTGAGCATGAGGTTTTCTTTTGGGGTATGGAACTAGATATAAATAATGCATACAGAACCTTATGAATGGACTAAATGCCACTGGGCTGTACATTTTAAAATAGCTAATTTTATGTTATGTAAAGTTGATCTCAAAATGGAAGCAGTGAAGGAGAAAAAATAAGGCCATATGAATATTTCAAGACATAAATAAATGTGATTATTACTGGGGAAAAGTATTAAAGCTAATGGTGAATTAAACATTCTAGAACCTAAACGAGCCTATAACTAGCAAATATGAGGAACTGGTATTGGTCAGTGGATAGTAGCATTCCTCATGAGTGGAAGTACCCCTAAGCTTCTTACCCTTACCTACAGACAGAAGGCGCCATGAAACAGCAGGGGTGGCAAAACATGCAAAAACGTCATCGGTGCAGGAGAAGTGGGTGAGGTGAGGGAGGATCACTGACTGGCCCCGGCACTGGCCCCACATGTACACGTGCCCGCCCTGCGTCTTAGCAGCAGATGTATGAGTAGAGTGACAGGCTGCAATCTCTACTACCCTGGGAAGTTTGAAGAAAAATACATGTCACTTTTTTATTGAAGAAACTCATATCGTGCCCCACATGGTAACTTAAAAGTTCATGCTTATAATACCTAAAAAATCAGCCTGAGATCAGGAATATCTTATAGATAGCAGCCAACTCCTATCTATAAAAGTGAAAGGTCAGGACAAGAGGGCTTTCTCTCTCTTCCTGATATCTCACTTCTCACCTGAGCTCATTCTGAGGATAAATAATATATATTGTTGAAGAAAACTTGAAAAAACAGACTAAAAACCAAAGTTAATGAGGAAAGTGGACAATGACAAAAAGATGTCCTGACTGTTCTGGGTGCTTAAATAGTTAAAAAATAATAATAAAATACTACCTTGAATAGAGCATTTGCTAATAAAAAAAACTTTTTCTCATCCCCTTCCAGAGGTCAAAACACTCATTAGGCTGATAAGCACTAGGCTACGGTCATGGACTCTGAGCATTCAAACCCAAAAGGACATCAGATCAAATCAACTTCATGTCTCAGTGAAGTTCTTAGGCAGGGTCCTAGAAACAGCAGTCAACACTCAAGACTCAATGGGTAAAACTTCACAGTTTGGTTCAATAAACATTAAGCATTTACTCCAGTAACCCGAATTAAATCAAATTAATATTTAAATAGATAATGTCCTTTTAAGAGCAGATTTTTAACTATTCAAAAGTGAGTTTAGTTTGCTCAAAAAATCTTTGTGCTATACTTTGGATTTTATGGGGTATTTTTGGCAATATAATTCTTTTTAATTGTTAGTTTTTCTTTTAGAAAGAGAAGCATGCTTTTTTAACAGCACCTTGTAAAAAGTGAGTACACTATTTTGAGATTCCATACTTGTGTGTGTATGTATAATACATGTATGTATATATGTGTGTATGTGTGTTTTGGGTTCTTTTGGAATGGTAGATTATCAAAACATCAATTGCATTACATAATAGTTATTGAAGTCAAGAAAGGCTAAAATTTTATCATGCTACACTTTGACTCTCAACATGGCCACAGACCCTAACTAACTTCCCTACTCAAAGGACACCACCAACTCTGTCAGAATTACACAAAGATGCACTCATGCCTAGCAATTCCAGGTGGCTACTTCAGAAAGCTGCCTGAGGATCATAACCTCATGTTCGTTCTAGCTGGTACCCAAAACCATTTTGTTCAAAATGAGAATATTTATAAACCAAAGAGTCACAAAAGCAAACACCACAGCTCTGCCATATGCAGTCCCAAGGCCACATCACACACACAGTCCCAAGACATGGCACAGCCAAGTTACCTTTCCTTCTCCACCATGATGTGTGCTGGGCTTAGCAGGTTATTTTTATTGCCAGTTCCCAGCTGCCCATAGGTGTTAGCTCCCCAGGCATAGAGTAAGCCCTCATCTGTTAGTGCTAGAGTATGTGCATAGCCGCAGACAATCTGGAAGTAAATGTAAATAGTTACCATACCAGGGAAGAGAGGGAGGGCAGAGACAATGCCTGTTTAAAGATGACAGTCAGGGCCATCTACTGACTGAAGCTGTAGAGCACCTGCCTAGCAAGGACTAGGCCCTGAGTTCAAGCCCCAGTACCACAAAAAAAAAAAAATAATAATAATAATAATCAACATCATCATCACAGTCAGCCTTTGCAGAATGCCAGGCTGGCAACAGGTATGGACTGGCATTTGCTGGCTCATTAAGAAGCATTACGGCAGCCCAACACTTACACTGCTGGATCCCTCCATTTGTTTCTTTGCCCTGTCAAGACTAAAGTCCCACACCATGGGTTTCCTTCCCATGGTAATTTAGGAAGGATATCACATTAAATGTGGAAGGAGAAGGCATAGGGAATTGCCATAAAAGAATAAAGAGTAAACTTCCAACATGTCTCCACATCAGAGCAGAGAAAATGGATGGGGTCCAGCCAGAAAGGTGACTGAATGTACCTGGTTCACACACACGCTGTGTAGAGCTGCCACTCTCACTGGGGTCAGCTGATTGCCATTGTTTCCCAAGCCCAGCTGACCATTGCCATTGTAGCCCCAGCCATACACCTGAAAGAGGAGAATGGAGAGGATAAGCTGTGAGAAATGTCGATAAAGAGAAAAATCCAATTCTTCTACACATATCAGATGCTACAACACTCGTGTTCCAGTCGTTGCAATCCTGCAACTGATCCCCAAAGAGAAGATGTCTTGTGGGTAAGGATAACAGAATTCGGCATCAGCTCCCACTTAAATAGTTAGAGAGCCTTGGGCAAGTCTCTCATTATGCTTTATAGATGTGGAACGTCATTGATAGTTATTAAGTACCTACTGTGCATCTGGACACTATAAAAGTGACTAGAAATAAGTTTTTGGTCATAGCTTAACAGAGGAGGTGGATGCATGCAAATTTGTGGCAGACAGTAGAGTTATTAAAAGTGAGATAACCAAAGCACTACAAGAACAGTCAGGAAGAAAGATTGAGTTCTAGGAAGAAAGTTTAGGGAAAACTTTTCAGAGTGGAGATCTGAGCAGAGCTGAAAAATGAATGAGGGCAAAGGCATTCCAGGCAGAAGGCACAAAATATTTCAGAGGCAGAGACAGAAGACAGGTAGATTAGTTGACTGCACACACATGGGGTAGTAGGTCAGGTGATAAAGTATTTTTAAAAATATATACCAGAGAAAGTGGAACTCATCTAAGAATTTTCATTGAAATATTTCAAAATAAAGACTGATTAAATTTACACTTTTGAAATATCACACTGGTCACAATATTGAAGGGTGACAGAGATATACAATAGAAGCAGGAAGAACATTTAGTAGGTAATTTCATTTCCCATCAGCAAGTAGGTAAGTTCTGATGAGGCTGCAAACTAAAAAGTGATGGACCCAAAAGAGGGAATGGATAAGAAAGAGGTTCTCATAGAATAAGGTGGTTCCTCAACTGTCCAGAATGAGAGGGGACCACATGGCAAAAGTAATAGCTGAGGGCTAAAAGTCTGGAATAGCCAATGAGAAGATAGGAAAAAGTGCTGATCAGGAACAGACAAAAAAATTGTCTAGCTCACATAAGAAATCTAAGACTTTGTGGTGACACTACAGCCCTCAACATAGAAGGCAGATATGTGCACTGGGGCTTCACAGGGCAACAATGTGACAGGGAAAAAGGAAGCATGGACTTTAGAGCTCTGGGGTGAGAGATGGTTAAGGACACTCTCATCCAAAGTCAGAAGGAGAACAGGCATCAACTTTCTGGAGAGAAATTTAGCTATCAACATTTTTAATGGCATACTTCTGGACCCAAAAATTTTTTTCGGAGAATTCATCCTATAGAAATAACTTGAGTAAGTGTACAAAGATATATACACAGTAAACAAAGAAAATCAGTGCACCACTGAAATTAGAAACAATTTAAAGGACCACCATTGAAGCTCCAGATGTGGGTCATTCATAGAGGCAAAACTAAATAGTATTAAGATGAGACACTGTGTAGATGGTGTGATAATACAGTGAAAGCAGATAAAGCGCATGCTATTAAATGGGGGAATGAAGACAGCAGAAAAAAGCAGAAGTAATATATCATCATCCCATTAAAAAACAAAAAAGAGAGAAAGGTAATTATACTCATCCATAGGTAACTGTTTATACAGAAAAGTCCAGAAGGGCTGGGATGTAGCTTAGTGGTGGAGTACTTGCCTAGCATGCACAAGGCCCTAGGCTTGATCCCCAGCACAAAAAAAAAAGAGAGCAAGAGAAGAGTCCAGAAGAATATACTCCAAACTATTTTTTTTTTGTAGTTTCTCTCTCTTCCCTTCCCCTCCCCCCCCCATTTATTCACATGTGCATACATCTTTTGGGTCATTTCTCCACCCTGCCTCTCTCCCCCACTTTCTCCCCCATCCCCCCGCCTCAGTTTCAGGCAGGTCCAGTTCTGCCCTTATCACTGATTTTGTTGAAGAAAAGACATAAGCATAATAAGAAAGACAAAGCATTTTTGCTAGCTGAGTTAAGGGTAGCTATACAGAAAGACTCCTACTATTGCTTTCATGTACCCATGTGTTCCAACCCATGTTGATTCAACTCTAACTGATCTGTACATTGGTTCCTGATCCCCTGCTCATGATAACCTGTCATTTTAAGGTTTCTGTATTAGTTCCTCTAGAGTGGGGACATCAAATGCTTTCATGTTTTGGGTTTTCTACCTATTCCTATATCTCCCATATGTGCTCTCCCCTTTTCTTGTGATCCAAGTCCAACCACATTGCTGCATTTGTCCTAGATCTAAAGTCTACATATGATGGAGAACATACAATTTTTGGTCTTCTGAGCTTGGCTGACCTCACTCAGAATGATGTTCTCCAGTTCCATCCATTTACCTACAAATGATAAGATTTCATTTTTCTTCATGGCTGAGTAAAATTCCATTATGTACAAGTACCACATTTTCTTGATTCATTCATCAGTAGTGGGGCATCTGGGTTGTTTCCATAACTTGGCTATTGTGAATAGTGCTGCAATAAACATGGGTATGCAGGTGCCTCTGAAGTAACCTGTGTTGCATTCCTTTGGGTTATCCCCAGGAGTGGGATTGCTGGATCATATGGCAGATCTATGTAGATTTTTAAGAAGCCTCCAGATTTTTTTCCAGAGTGGTTGCACTAGCTTGCATTCCCACCAGCAGTGTATGAGGGTTCCTTTTTTCCCACATCCTCACCAACACCTGTTGTTAGTGGTGTTTTTGATGATGGCTATTTTAACAGGGGTAAGGTGGAATCTTAGTGTGGTTTTGATTTGCATTTCCTTTGTGGCCAGAGATGGTGAGCATTTTTTCATGTGTTTTTTGGCCATTTGAATTTCTTCTTTTGAAAAAGTTCTGTTTAGTTCAATTGCCCATTTCTTAAATTTGTTCATTGATTTTAGGAGAGTTTAGTTTCTTAAGTTCCCTGTATATTCTGGTTATCAGTCCCTTGTCTGATGTATAGCTGGCAAATATTTTCTCCCACTCTGGGTGGTCTTTTTAGTTTAGAGACCATTTCTTTTGTTGCTTTTTAATTTTATGAAGTCCAATTCATTCATCCTTTCTCTGAGTTGCTGGGCTTCTATTGAGGAAGTCTGTGCCTACACCTATTTGTTCCAGAGTGTTTCCTGCTCCTTCCTGTAGTAACTTCAGAGTTTGGGGTCTGATATTTAGGTCCTTGATCCATTTTGAGTCGATACTAGTAGAGGATGATAGACATGGATCTAGTTTCAGTTTCTTACAGACAGGTAACCACTTTTTTCAGCAACATTTGTTAAAGAGGCTGTCTTTTCTCCATCATATAGTTTTGGCACCTTTGTCAAAAATGAGGTGGGTATAGTTGTGTGGATTCATATCTGGGTCCTTTATTCTGTTCCACTGGTCTTCATGTCTGTTTTTGTGCCAGCACCATGCTGTTTTTATTGCTTTGTAATATAGTTTGAAGTCAGGTACTGTGACACCTCCAGCACTGCTCTTTTTGCTGAATATTGCCTTGGTTATTCGCAGTCTTTTATGTTTCCAAATGAATTTTAGGGTAGATTTTTCAATCTCTGTGATGAATGTCATTGGGATTTTGATGGGAATTGCATTAAACATGTAGATTGCTTTAGGTAGTATAGCCATTTTTACTATGTTGATTCTGCCAATCCATGAGCATGGGAGATCGTTCCATCTTCTGTAGTCTTCCTCGATCTCTTTCTTTAGGAGTTTTTAATTCTCTTTGTAGAGGTCATTCACATCCTTTGTTAAATTTACTCCTAGGTATTTGATTTTTTTTTGAGGCTGTTGTGAATGGAATTATTTGCATGTATTCCTTCTCAGTTTGTTCATTGTTGGTGTATAGAAAAGCTAATGATTTTTGTAGGTTGATTTTGTATCCTGCCACCTTACTGTAGCTGTTTATGGTGTCTAAGAGCTTTTGGGTAGTTTTTTGGGTCTTTAAGGTATAGGATCATATCATCTGAAAATAAGGATATTTTGACAGTTTTACTTATTTGTATTCCTTTTATTTCTTCTTCTTGCCTAATTGCTCTGGCTAGGAATTCCAGTATTATGTTGAATAGGAGTGGGGATAGTGGGTACCCTTGTCTCATTCCTGATTTTAGGGGGAATGGTTTCAGTTTTTCACCATTAAGTATGATGTTGGCTATAGGTTTGTCATATATAGCCTTTACAATGTTTAGGTACATTCCTTCTATTCCTAGTTTTCTTAGAGCTTTTATCATGAAGTGGTGTTGGATCTTGTCAAAGGCTTTTTCTGCATCTATTGAGACGATCAGGTGATTTTTGTCTTTGCTTCTGTTAATATGGTTTATTATGTTTACTGACTTTCATATGTTGAACCACCCCTGCAACCCTGGGATGAAGCCAACTTGGTTGTGGTGAATGGTCTTTCTGATGTATTGTTGGATTCGGTTAGCCATTATTTTATTGAGGATTTTTGCATCGATGTTCATTAGGGAAACTGGCCTGTAGTTCTCCTTTTTGGAGGTGTCTTTGTCTGGTTTTGGGATGAGAGTAATACTGGCTTCATAAAATGAGTTAGGCAGTGTTCCTTCCCTTTCTATTTCGTGGAACAGTTTAAGGAGAGTTGGTACTAGTTCTTCTTTAAATGTCTGATAGAATTCAGCAGTGAATCCGTCAGGTCCTGAACTTTTCTTTTGTGGGAGGCTCTTGATGCAGCTTCAATTTCTTTTTGTGCTATAGATCTATTCAGATGATTAATACCCTCTTGATTCAATTTTGGACGGTTGTAAGTTTCTAGAAATCTGTCCATTTCTTTGAGATTTTCAAAGAAAAAGTAGAAAGACTACTTTGAGTATAGGCTCTCAAAGTAGTCTCTGATGATCTCCTGAATTTCCGTGGTGTTTGCTGTTATCTCTCCTTTTGAATTTCTGATTTTACTGATTTGGGTTTTTTCTCTCCTCATTTTAGTCAGGTTTGCCAGGGGTCTGTCAATCTTACTTATTTTTTCAAAGAACCAACTTTTGTTTCATTGATTCTTTGGGTTTTGTTTTTGTTTCTATTTCATTGATTTCAGCTCTTATTTTTATTATTTCTCTCTTTCTGCTTGTTCTTGTTTTTCTAGGTGTTTGAGAAGTAGCATTAGGTCATTGATTTGAGATCTTCTGACCTTTTAATATATGCACTCATAGCTATAAACTTTCCTCTTAGAACTGCCTTTGCTGTGTCCCATAGGTTCTGGTAGGTCATGTTTTCATTTTCATTAACTTCCAGGAACCTTTTAATTTTCTCTTTTATTTCATCAGTGACCCATTCATCATTGAGTTGTTGTTTAGCTTCCAACTGTTAGCGTGTTTTTTACTGCTGTTTTTGTTGTTGATTTCTAGTTTTAATGCATTGTGGTCAGACAGAATGCATGGGATTATTTCTATTTTCTTATATTTGCTAAAGCTTGCTTTGTGCCCTAAGATATGATCAATTTTGGAAAAGGTTCCATGGGCTGCTAAGAAGAATGTATATTGTGCAGAAGTTGCAGGAAATATTCTGTAGACATCAGCTAGGTCCATTTGATCTATGTATACCAAACTATTGACTGGGGTCAATAAGGCTGGGGAAAAGGTGTTCAATTTTTATGTTTCATTTTTCTTTTCCTTTGTTGAAATAACCACATGATAAATTTTAAATTAAACTGTTTTTTAAAAATAGGGCAGTAAAGAACACAAGACTAGAAGATATTAGTGGCTATCCCAAGGAATTCTGAAATCATCCAGGATAATAGCAGAATTGATTAAAAAAGTAAGTCAACCTAGGCAAGCATTCAATTACCTCTACAGCAACCCAGAACCCCAATGTACGATACGGTACTGTCTGTATCCAGAGAATGTCTCTCTGTATAATTTTCATGCACTAAGAGTACATGGGTGGTAAGTGGCCCATTTAAGTATCTTTGGCCACAAATTTCATAGAAATAACTATTAGCTTGAAGGTGACCACAGCAAAGGGTAGTCAAAGGATCGTTTTGGTTTTTTCTTTTTCTTTTTTTTTTTCAAAGTAGCTAACATCAATCAGGATGACAAATTATGCTTTAGCAAGTTGCTTCCTCCTGGGAACAAATATTTCAGTAGTAAGTAATTCCAAAGACTTCATCAGCTGACTTTAAAATGTGCAGTTAACTTTTCCATTGGAAGAGAAAGGTGGCATCAAATTCTTTAGTCCATTGTATTAAATCACAAATCCCTATAAACATTAGACTACATGATCTTGCAAAAAATACAATTTAGACACACTAGAATCTTTACTTGCTGAAAAATTCTGAGATTTAAAGAAGTCATTCTAGAGACTAATCAGTCCTCAGTCATGAATTGGTTGACTATGGATGAAGCTGCCAAGACAAAGCCCTCTTCCTTCTGACAAGGGAAGTGGAGAGGAAAGTGGGATGGAGAGCTTACCTCACCATTGTCCAGAACAGCCATGGAGGAGGTCTGACCACAGGCAATTCCAACCACCCTCTTAATATGTAAACAGTTTGTAACTTTTCGAGGAGTTGGTTGATTTGCTGTAGATCCTGATCCCACCTGGCCACAGTTGTTATAGCCCCAAGCAAATACCTACAATAGAAGGGAAAGAGAAAAATGGGTACTCATGATGTGCTAGATAATCCTCAGTACTTTATATGCATTATATACTTAATCCTCACAGTATTCTATAAAGTGACCCTGGGGTAGGTAATGTTCCCATTCCCTCTGAGGAGATATATAGGAAACTGAAACACAGTTTTATACATGGAAACTGAAACAGAGAATTTAGTTTCTTGCTTGAGATTCCAGAGCCGGAAAGTAAGACAAGTGAAACTAGAGCCGGGGCACCTAACTATGGTCTTGGCCACTGGGCAACAATGCCTTTATAATTATGCAACTATATACACTTTTGTTATGGCATTAATAGAGATGAAGTATATGCCACACAATTATCAGTGACATAAAATAATCTTTTCAACTCTTCGGGCACAAATATTCATTGATTTTCACAGAAATATTTCTAACTCAAACTGTTTTTGCCTGCCTTACTAATCAATAATTCTGAGCATTACACAGCCTTTCCTTGATCACTCAGAATCATCATGCTTGTAATTATCTACTGTAGTTCTTCATCATGACATAGTAATGCTCATAAGTGCTAAAAAGGTGTCTGTCCCTACAGAAATGACACAGGTCAGAGTTGGGGGCATGGCTTCAGTGGTAGAGCACCTGCCTAGAAATAATGCTTTTCTTGGTAATATTTGCTATCTGTAAGCTTCCCATAGCAACCTTATTACAGTGAATCCCATGTCTACTTTTGGCCTCTGATCTGCCACAATCTGAAAACCAGATTCTTAATGTAGAGAGGATAAACAGACCTCTTAAGCTAGCTAAAAACTAGCCAAAAAAAAAAAAAATCCAAGTTAATTACCAACTGATCCTACAAGACTGGTGTGGTCAGAGAAAAGAACAGGGAAGAGGGTACTGGCAATAGAGGAAATAAAATTGGAGAATTTCTAAGACCCTACTTCCCTTCACTCTCCTATAGGAAAATAGTTCTCACACATCCTCAGTTGGGCTTCCACAATTCTGTTAGCACTTTCTATCTAAGTTCATGCCTGATACTGCCCAGGCAGCACAGTACAACCCAGTGGTGACGACCATACCAAGGGTACGGTCTATGATTATGAAACACACATGAAAGGTTCATGTCAGAGGCATAAAAGAAATAACCCACCACATCCCCATGTGTATTTACAGAAATATCTAGTTTAATAACACAAATATTTACATAATTATCCAAAGTAGCATATGCTTAAGGTTAAAGTATAGCAGGAATACAGCCTGTTCAGATGTGCAAGATTAATCTAATTTCATCAATCATTCTTCAGGCACATCTCAATTATTTCAAGTTCTCTTAAAATGCCACTTCCTTTTATTTTTAAATGGGAATTGCAGTTCCACTAATCAAGAAATGGACTAACAAACAGTGAATTCTGGGTACAAGGCCCATGTCCTATACCTGCCTCCAGCATATCCCAGTCATGAAATCTTGGTCTCCATGAGCATTTTGCTCTTTTCTTCTATAACTTATCAGACTTGGTAAGATGACTGTAACACCACCGAAGAATTTTAAACAGATAACAATAGGACCTGGGTTGTGCTTTAGATGTCATGGGGAAACACAGAAGTAAGACTGGACAGATAAATCCATTAAAAAACTTATGAAATAGAAGAGACATGGCAATAGTCCTCGGAGAAGACAAGAGCTGAACAAAAGCAATGGAAGTAGAGAGGAGCAATGAGACACAAGAGATTAGAGAGAGAATGAACAGCAAGAGTAACCTTAAAGATAAGCAAGGAACTTGGGGCTGAACATGTACCTGTGCTAGAAAGTTATCTTCTCTAATATCATTACACATAATCGAAAACTAAAATATACTTAAGGCATGAGGTACTTAAAAAGTACACGTCTGATTTGCAATCTTGCTGTAAAACTGAATTCTATTCTCAACAAAAAGGTAATCCTTTTTGGTTGTTTTGGGGGGGAGTTGTTTTGGTTGGTTTGATAAGGTTTATTGAGACAGGATCTCACTCTGTGGCCGAGGCTGTCTTGGAACTCACTATGTAGCCAAGGCTGGCTTTGAACTCTCAATCCTTCTGCCTCTGCCTCCTAGATGCTGGGACTACAGATGTATATGACATCATGCTCGGCTATGGGCAATCTTGACTACATGATACAGATAATGTTGGAGAAAAGAGTGTTTCCACAATGCTTTTAGCTACAAGCTATGTCAAGATCATACAAATACGGTCTTTATATAAAATTTCTTTTTTTAAAAAGCATGGGACTTTCACAATAGCTGAAAAGTGGAGGCATCCCATGTGTCCATCAAGAGATGAATGGATAAATAAAATGTGACACTATACAATGCTAAGTGAAACAAGTAAGTAACAAAATGGCAAATACTGTCTGACTTCACTTACATGAGGTACCTAGAGTGGCCAAAACTTTAGAAAAAGTAAATAGAATAGTAGCTGCCAGGAGCTGGGAGAAGAGAAAATGGAGAGTTAATATATAATAGAGAGTTTCAGTTTTTCAAGATAGAAAGACTTCTGTGAGTGAATGGTGGTAATAACTGCATGACACAACCATACCTAATGCCACTAAACTGTAACTTAAAAATGGCTAAGATGGTAAAGTTTTGTATGTTTTTTTTTAACTCAGGGCCTATACCTTCAGCCACTCCACCAGCCCTTTTTGTGTTAAGTATTTTCAGGATAGGGTCTCATGAACTATTCGCCTGGGTTGGCTTCGAACCACAATCTTCAATCTCTGCCTCATGAGTAGCTAGAATAATAGGCGTGAGCCACCAGCACCCAGCTTAAGGTAAGTTTTATAGTGTATTTTACCACATTTTAAAAAATAAATAAACAAAGGCAGTACACTGACCTCTCCATCTGCTGCCAGAGCCATCGAATGATGTGAGCCACAAGCTACCTCGACCACTTGCTTAATCAACAGATTGGTACAGACTTGAATGGGAGCAATGCCTTGATTGGTGGTCCCATTCCCCAGCTGGCTGTATCCATTGTGGCCCCAGGCATAGACCACTCCATCTATACAACAAGCACAAAGCGTTAGCTCCAAGAAGAAATGGTAACCCTGTACTTTCTTCCCCAGATTTTGTACAGCTCTTTTTCCAACCTTCATTTCTCTCACATTGCCCACTTCTCTCTAAAAAATAACCACCAACGGGAGTCAGGGGAGATAAGGGATGAGAACAGGGAAAAAACAAATCTGTAGTAAAAGGATTTGGTACTAGCATACATGATCAGCTCTGTAGTCAGAAGTCAAAGTTTTATTTACAAAAATTAGACTTTCTAAACACTTTGATTCATGTCAGTAGATGCTGTTTTGGATGCCAAGCAAAAGGCAGAAAAACTCAACAAGACTACCACCAAAAACCAAGTCCAGGGAATCGTGGCAGGGTTATGTGTCACTCACAATGTACAGAGGAAAGAGGTCAATGTTTGCAAGGGAAACAAAAATCCCAAATATCTCTCAAGCAGACTATTTTAATAACATGGAATCTGGCTGAATTTTTTTAAGAGGAAGCATAAAGCAATCATTTTATTATGCTCATTTATTTTGTCCATATCAAGAACTTGGACAAGAGACAATAAAGATGGTTTGTCTTTGCTTCGTAGTACATGTGACCTCAGGAAGACCAAAAGGCTGGGGGCTGACACCATTATGAGACATCTCTAACATCGTTGAGGCTCTCTTTAGAAAATACTACTAGTTTCTTACCCAAAAAAAAAAAAAAACAGAAACGGTCAAATAGAAGAGCTGGGATGGGGCAGAGCACAGAGCTTCCACATACACAATCTTCCCAGTACCCCCATGTGTTCACCAACTACAACCTAGAAGCTCTTCTGCCTGGATTTATCTTTTTAATGGAGTCAACTTTTTAAATGGATGGGGATTCTGATGGCAGTTACTTTTCTGTTTGTGTCCTTTCAAAGTATTGTTGTTTCATGAATCTTTTTCCCCACAGCCTGCCTATTGAGGGCAGGTTTTTCCAAGTTATATGTTCTCTTTTATACAGTAATGAAACATTTTGATCTTGGCTAGGCATAGTGGTGAAACCTGTAATCCTAGCTACTTGGGAGGCAGAGATCAGGAGGATCATGGTTCAAGACTACCTGGGAGCAAAAAGTTCACTAGACCCCATCTCAGCCAATGGCTAAAGTGTGGTAGTGGGCACCTGTCATCCCAGCCAGTAGGAAAGCACAAGCACAGGACAGGAGGATCACAGTCCAGGCCAGCCCAGGCATAAAATAAGGCCCTATCTCAAAATAACCAACACAAAAAAGACTGGCCAAGTAGTTAAAGTGGTAGCACACCTTCCTAGCAAGCACAGGCCCTGATTTCAACTCCCAGTACTACCAAATAAAAAAAAAAATCTGATTTCATAAGAACAATCTAGACCACATGACAACAATATCGGAGAGCAGCAAGTAAAAAGTGCCGAGTATGGTCAGGCTGCTAGCTGACTGACATCAGTTCCCAAACAACCAGAATAAAAAAGAGACCAATAACCAAACAGACTTCTGGTTGTCCATATATAACACCACCAAACCTCCAAACACACCGAGGCTAACCACTTATATCTCTCAAGAGGTGTTCCCTACCACAAAACTGAAGGCAAAACCCTAAGTGGGGAGTCTCATTCTAGAAGAAGGAAGCTCAATGTCAAAAGAGCATAAAACCTAAAAAAGATCCATGATGTTATGCTAAAGCACATGAAAGAAATGTCCAGCTGGGGGTGCCAGTGGCTCACTCCTGTAATCCTAGTTACTTGGGAGGTTGAGATGGGTAGGATCACAGTTCGAGGCCAGCAAGGGCAAATAGTTCACGGAATCCCATGTCCAAAATAACTAGAGCAAAACAGACTGGAGTGTGGCTCAAGGAGTAAAGCACCCGCTTTGTGAGCACAAAGTCTTGAGTTCAAACCCCAGTCCCACCCAAAAAAAAAAAAAAAGCAGCAGGTACTGGTGTCTCATGCCTATAATCCCAGATACACATAGGACAGAGACCAGGAGGATTGAGACCAGCCCAGGCAAAGTAGTTTTGGAAGACTCTATCTTGAAAATATCTAACACAAAAAAAGGGCTGGCAGAATGGCTCAAGTGATAGAGTGCCTGCCTAGCAAATGTGAAGCCCTGAGTTCAAGTCCCAATATCACCAAAAAAAGAAAAAAATGTCTAAGCCTCTGAGGGTTTTAACTCCTAAAAGTTATCACTGAGGAATAATATCCCATATATAAAAGAATTCCAAAAATGGAAGAAACAGACCAAATTGTCAATTCATGTTTTGACAGTTTTGATGATCAGAACATGAACTGATAGCTCAAAAGAAAGAAATATATGGTTCTAAACCAAATAAAAAGATGTTCAACCTCACTCTTAAGAAAAACACAGATTACATCTTAACACAACAGAATACTGGTTCCTATTCAGCAAGGCAGGTCGAGCTACTTCCATTGCCAAATGTCACTATGCCAGTAACACAGACCAATACACAGAGCCCACCTCTGCACTTCCCTCAAGGAGACCACTCAGCCATTTGGTGGTAAGTTGATTACAATGGATCCATTAGAGCCTGGAAGAAGAAGCCATTCATATCCAGAAATCAGCATTTTATCCAACATATAACCAAGGTTTGGATTTCCTGCCCACAGGGGCACCACTAAGATTCACAGTGCTCAATATACTGATCCGATGGATCCCTCAAAATATCTCATCAGGCCGAGGAACCAGCATTACAGCAAAATAGCTGAAGTAGGGTACCCATGACCATAGAATTCATGGTCCTTTCATGTACTGCAACACCCAAATGCCACCAACCAAACAGCATGATGGATGCATTTGCCAAAGACATAGCTGAGACATTAGCCGGAAAATGACACCATGCAAGGATGGGATGCCATGTATCATGGTGAGACATGCACTCTAAGTCAGTGACCACTCTATTATGCTGTGTTCCTAACAGGCAGAATACATGGGTCCAGGAATGAAAAACTGATGTATTAATTGGTCCCAATGACCATCAACCTAGTGATAGGTGAAGGATTTGAGCTTCCTGTTCCTGCAATTCTACTTTCCACAGGTTTGTAAGTTCTGGTTCCACCCACTGAACTTATGAGCTGTGGCTGCAAGGAATACTGTGTGGCTTTTGCCAAAGAACAGAAAAGAAGAAGAGTCATGGTCCTGGCAGGAAGAGGCAGGACTGCTATCAAAAAATGGGGGCAGAGGTGACACTTGGGAGTCTTGGCTCCCAGGTGACACTTGTCTTTTCATGCCCAATACTTTACTTGCCCAGTAATGTGACTAGAATTATGCATCAGCCATGGCCAGAGAACAGTATGGTCAGGGGGTTCAGGGCCCTCAAGGATGAGAGTCTGGCTTACTTCAAGCCAGATACTGGCCACTGTTGTAAAGCTGTAAATATACACCTCTCTTCCATTTTTCCTTGATGAAGCAAGGGAAAGATGAGCCCCAAATACTGCAGATGCCCTCAAAAACAACACAACCTAACTAGACACCAGCATCTACTTACCCAACCCTTTTCTGGCCACAATGTCCACAGCAGACCAGGAACTAAATTTCAGGTTGACTTGAGACTTAAGAAATGAGCAAAATTACCCAAGGATGTGACAACAGGGTAGGGAAATGGGTAAGGGACAGTGTGGAGGGAAACAAAGCAGTACTCATGAACTTGTGACCTTGACAGACACTCATGGACGAGTCTTAAGTCTAGTCTTCAGGGAATGGACACTGAGTTGGACAAGTGAACAAAAACTACTGATTTTATAAGTAACCTAATTAAATACTGCTTCAGAAGACAAAAAGAAACCCGGAAGACCCAGGTCTGTATATAAAGTAATAATATCAAATGGACATTGAACTTTGAAGTAGTCACCAGGTGGGACTAGATGTTCAATTTAATCAAAATACTCTCAAAATGCCCTTTAGAAATACTTATAAGCCAGTGAAGCATGGAGAAATGAACACATTTTTATATTCAATCCCTCCCCAAATCCTACTGAAATGATAGTAAAGGGAAAAATGGCATAAACATTCAGGACAAGAACAACAGAAAACAGGAGAGATGCAACAAAGCTTTGGAGGATGGAAAGCAGACAAGTGTGATAACTAACACAGTAGACCTGAAAAGGTATAGTGTGCATCTGCAAAAGGGGAATCCACCAGGAAGTCAATTCCAGCCTCAGGATCCCAGAAAGGCCCAGAGACCACAGAAGACCCAAGTGCTGAGTACAATTAAAAACAGAGGCAGTTCAATCCCAAGTCCTCACCTCCTCCCTGCAAGGCTAGTCAACTTCTCTCAACCCTGTACAGCTTGAACTTACTTTTTGTGAACTTCTTTTAACTGTACTGTACCTTCTCCCTTTGCCCAAATTCTCCTTCCTTCCCCCATTCAAAAAGAAAGAAAGAAAGAAAAGAATCCAGAGGCTTGAGCCCACAAGAGCCAAAAATAATTTAGAGAGGCCCTGAGGGCAGTAATGAGGTGCTGTAGAACAAAAATGAATTTAAAATCCTCATAGGAAACACTGAGATCTTGCCCTTCCTTTATTTAAGCACCTGGAAGCTGGTTCAGTATCTATTTGCAGGACAAGAAGCCAGATGATTCTACAGAAAGTTACATCTCATGCTGAGAATGCCTCTCATGAAAATAGTTACTACTACAGTGAAGCTCAGAATTCCAAAGCCCCATCCACAAACACAACTCCCAAGATGCCTATAGTGCCCTTTGCTCTTACCCATCAACAGTCAGGGATCACCAGACTTTGGAAAAAAAGTAAGAACATTAAAGTCAGAAACCAAAACAAAGAAATCTGGAAGAAAAAAGTAATGTAGAGAATAAAGACAACTTTAAAATAATCTATAATTATAAATAACCTCATAGAAGATAGTGAATCCATGAAATAGAAGCAGGAAGCTCTTACAAAAGAATATTGAGAGAACAGAAAAAGAACACTTGGAAATATGACATTAGAAATGTTAAATTTCATATTAAGGTTTAAGATAAAGTTGAGAAAATTTCCCAAAACATAACTAGGAAAGAAAAATATAAGAAAATTAGGAATGTCAGGTCAGACTCTCTTTCTTCTAAGAAAAATTCCAAAAGAGAAAAAAAAAGGAAAATTATCCATGAAATGCTACAATACATTTTTCTAGAAATGAAGGAATCTCTAGACTGAAGGGCCTACAGAATGACTAATACAATAAATAAAAGTTACCTACTTGGGCTGAAAGAGTGACTCAAGTGGTAAAGCACCTGCCTAGCAAGTATGAGACCCTGAGATTAACCCCCAGAACCTCAAAAAAATTTTTTAAAAAGTACCTACATCAGAGTACAGAATCATGATTATCTAAGAACAACTGGAATAAAGAAAAAAATCATTAATGCTTCCAAAGAGCAGAAAGCAGTCACAAACAAAGGAGCATAAGTCAGAATGGCATCAAACTCTCAACAGCAACCCTAAACCTCGAAAGGAGCCAAGACTTCAAAATTCTAAACAGATTTTTCACCCTAGAATTCTAAGCCAAATACTAATGATAAGCATCAGTAAGGGTGGAATAGGGACATTTTCGTATAGTCTCACATTTCTCTCACATCCCTGCCTTGGTAAGCAACTAGAGAATATGATTTTTCCAAGTGAGGGTATAATCCAAGAAGGACAACATAAAATACAGAAACGAGGGATCCAGAAAGAAAACTGAAGGGACATCCAAGGATGATAGTAAAGAGAGGTTCTTGGTGGACAGCTGTGCAGGAGACCTAAAAAGTGGCCCATACTGAAGCAAGAGACAGAGGGTTCAAAGATACTTTACATGCTTAAATGTGCTGAGAAGCAATGTGCTGTTCTGTAGAAGAGTTTGGGCATATCTTAATGATAGATGTACAGAAAAGTAAATGAAAAATATTGAGGCACTTATCAACCCCAGGAAAACAAACAGTTACACAAGAAAGGAGGTGGCTCGGCTATAAATAAACTTCTACAGTCCTAATAATGTAAACAGGAATACTGACTTAACCAAAATCATATCAGTATATGAAAAGGATAAAGACAGAGAAGAGTCAGTAACAGTGGCTCACACCTGAAATCCTAGCTACCTGAGAAGCTGAGATGGGGAGGATCGAGGTTTAAGGCCAGCCCAAATAGTTCCTGAAATACCGTCTCTAAAATAACCAGAGCAAAATGGACTGAAGGCATAGTTCAAGCAGTAAAGTGCCTGCTTTGCAAATGGGAAGACCTGAGTTCAAATCTCAGTTCCACAAAAAAAAAAAGACAGACAGAAGATAGGATTTAGTTTTTTATCACCTATATGCCATAATAGAAAGTCAAAAGATAATATCTAAAACTTAAAATTTAGAAATAAAGTGTATGCATGTTATTTTAAAATATGATTTTAATTCCAAAAGAAATGTCTGGAAAAGTTAAAAATGATTCCTTATAAAGAGCAGTTACTCTGCTAGAAGCGTAGCTCAAGTGGTAGAGCACTTGCTTAGTAAATAAAAGCCCTGCATTCAATCCCTAGTACCACCAAAAAAGGTACTGAGAGGACAGCTGAGGAAGGGGTGCTTCTGTTTTTCACCAAAAATCTGATACCATTTGATGGTCTAAAGTGTTAAAATTATTTTTAAAACTATTTGGTTTTGATAGACATGTAACACATGAATATATGCATTATTTACACATTTGTACACTGTGTAAAATGCTATTATAAAAATTGAATTGAATTAAACACAATTTTTGTGGAAATCCACAAAAAACAATTATTTATCTACATCATAAATGTAGCACTCAAGATAAAACTTAAATCCATACAATCTGGACTCTGAAAATAACCTCAGGAGAATTAGTTTCCTAAGGTCACCACTCTGAGGAAAACCAAGAATTTGGATGTACATGTTTTACTGTGTTTGTTGTAGAAAAATGCTCATCAGCATCTATGGTCAGGTATCAAGGACTAGTTAAAGTTAGTACGTTAGGAAAACCTTAAATACTGAGGTCACACTGGATGACAGCAGAACCAGCTGGTAACACAGTAACTGTTTGAAAGCATGATTACTCAGAGCAGAAGTGAGATATCCCATGCTCACCACCAGTTAAGACTCCTACTCAACAATCAGTACAAACCAGCTCTTACAGCTTAATGCAGCGACCTTTGGAGTAGATTCAGACTTGAGAGTACGGGCACTTACAAAGCCTGATAAGAAGGCCTACAGCAGCACCCAAGGATCCCCAGTCTAGACAAAGAGGCAGAGATGCAATCTGTCTTCCAAAGGCCACCCTAGAAAATCACCCAACAAAAAGCTGAGGGCCTCTGCAAAAGACAAAAAGCTAATGGGCATAAAATGCAAAAGGAAGAACTTAAGTTACATGTAACAAACTTCTGGAGTGCTGGTTGCCCACAGTGCAGAGAAATTGTCAAAGAAAAATGTCTACAACTCCTTTAGTGATCTTGGGGAGGCAGAGAAGAAAGGCCAAGAATCTATACACTCGAATTCCCCATTCTTTCAACATGGTACCCACAGGAATGCCTGAGAATAAACTGAGATTTCTCAAGATTCAAGAAAGAATCTGTGTTTATAAAAATACACCAAGGAAACTCTCAAAGTTGCCTTGTGACCACAAATCCACTGGAAGGACCACTTCCTTTTCTATATCCAATCTTCTACAAATTTACAGTAGTCTAAAACCTCAAAAGTCTGCCCAATGTGCAAGTCTGTGGCTATTTCAGACTTGGTCTGAGTGTTTAACTTTTACCTGCTTTGTGTACTTCCCTCAGAAATTAGAGAACTAGCAATGCAAAATTAATACTTTGATACAGTCCTACCTCTCCTTTAGCTTAGGACTAACTGATTTCCCACAAACTGAAAAGCTAAATTGTTCTCTCTTTACCTTCGGTGCTGAGGAGAACATGGGGGCCACTTCCGTAACTAAGGCTTTTAATCTTCTTTCCACTTAAGGCTTCTAGCTTCTTTGGCACAAGTGTGCTCTGGTTATCTCCAGTTCCTAGACAGTTACTATAGTTCAGTCCAAACACAAAGACCTAGAAAACAAATAGTTTTGTCTGGGTCATCAGGCCAAAAGCTATATTAAAGCTCCTTTCTCCACTCTGAAAATAAGACACTCAAGTTCAATTTGACAGCTTGGTCAAGTACACTGGCTGACATTACCTTAGTTTAGAATATTTCTCTGTACTGTGGAGCAAAGAGGTATTAAATCAGTAAACTGAAAGAAGAGGGAAATTATATCAAAGGCACGATCTGCCTGAATTATAAGCTCTCTTTATGCCCTATCTTTTCTCATTTTCAATCGCCATGACTTGAAGCCCAGTTCCAAAATAACCCCCAATACTGACCTCCAGAGAGTCTTACCTCATCATTATTAGTGACATACAGTGCCTCATTGGCCGAGGTGCCAAAGACGCATGCTTTCCGAATAGACGCAATTTCCTGAGGTGAAAGCAGACTGAAGATAGGCCACTTTCCTACATCCACCATGACTATGGCTTCAAGCAATTCCTATAAATAAGCCGACATTTCTGCTGTAACAAAAACAATTCCAAGAAAAAAATTAACTACAAAGCTAACTTCAAAAAAAAAAAGAAAAAGAAAAAGAAAAATCTGTTAATAAATGCTAACAAAAGCCACTTCCAGAATAAATAACCTACCTTTGGTTAAATGAATCACTCACTTTCTCCTGCAATGTGTTCAATCCTTCCTTGACCTTCAAACCCAGGCCTTTTCCTGTAACAAGAACACAACATCCTAGAATGAGGCTTTTGACTGGTCCACCTACTGGTCAAACTTATCTCTTCCACACATTAGCAGCTCATGAAGAGAAGATGGGCTATCTGGATGGAACCAGAGCCTCACCTCAGGAATGTTTTCCTCAGGTATTAGTATTGTAATCTTTAACTTTATCCTAAGATAATCAATTCTCTACTAGGAGGGAGGGAGAAATCAGAAGCATTACCTATAACTCCCCACTCACCCACTCCCATGAAACACCCCAGCCCTTGTAGAAAATCACTGCTACATGGAGCTACTATGGAATAACCAGAATGTGATGTCCCTCAGAAAGTCTAGAGAAAGCAAAGTTCCAAGAAGAATCATCTAAGATTTTCAGGATGAAAACATAAAAGAAAGTATTAAATTCTGGTTCTAATTTCTCGGGTCACATTGTCTACATATGGACAGACCATATTTCATTTCACCTTGAGAAAAGTTATCATATGAACAAAGAGGCAATTTACTCTGATCTTGGGTTGAGCTGACGACTAGAGCCTTCATGTAAATCCCAATTAGCTTAAATGGTATCCTACAGGAAGCAGAAATGCATAAATTTTCTCAAAATGTCATCCATTTGTTGAGTTTTATACAGAGAATCCTGGTCAGAGCTCCAATTTCTCTATGGTTAAAAAGAATTTCTAGAAAAACAGAGAGCCACATAAACACAAAATCCTATCAAGCCAAGTCAACTTCTATTCTGGCTCTCATCTCTGATAGCGTCCTAATGAAGATCAGAACTCTTGAAGTTCCTTCCTACTCACCCTCTGAGACCTCTAAAAGCAGCCAAGAGAGATAGGTCCAACACCAAATTCTTTGTAGCTCAAGTACCTCCTTTAGCACACGTACAAAGAGTATGGGACTAGAGCTTACTGAGCCAATGCCTCTGTTTCTACTATCCAGAGAGACTTTTCCATCAGCACCAAGCAAGATGTTGAAGATGAGGTGCTTATCAGCCCCAACCATCATACCATATATTCTGTGAGGAGTATATGGCTATCAAATCAGGCTATTCCCTGATAGCCAGATTCCTCAAGTAACATTTGAGTGCTCTGACAAGTCTGCGTGCACGGCTATGTATGTGCGCACTCATATTAATGTGTGTTGTGTTTGTTGGAGGGATAGGAAAAATGTTTGTTGGAGGGGATAGGAAAAAAGATTTGGGAAGAGTATAAATACATAAACATGGTTTAAAAAAAAAAAGTTTCAAATGGCACAAAAGAACAGGAAAGTAAGTCCTCATACCATCCCTCTCTCAACTCTCTTCAAAATCAACCTCTAGGGCTAGAGGTGTAGTTCAAGTGGTAATGCACCTGCCTCACAAGCTGGAGGTCCTGGGTTCAATCCCCAGTAATCACCTCCCCCCAAAAGCAATCACTGTTACCAGCTGTTCGTAATTTCATCCACAGACAGTATATACTCACAGAAGCACTGTGTGTGTGTGTGTGTATGTGTACATGTGTGTGTGCCCTTTAAAAACAAAAACACAAGTGTAAACTTTTTTCTCTACTTAACAGAAAATGGTGGAAATCATTCCATATTAGCACATGTACGACTACTTCATTTCTTTTCAATAGTACCAATGCATTTCATTATATAAATTTAACAGTTTGTTTGCTACTAAGAGACATTTATTTCCAGTCTTTTTCTGGAACAATATCACAATTATTGTTTGTATACTATTACATAAATGTCCTACTTTAAACAAATTTCTAAAACAAATGCCTAAAAATGGAATTACTGTGTCAAAATCTAAGTTATTTTATCCTTGACAGCATAACTACTTCAAACTATTGAAAAAAATATATATATGACATATATATATACATAAATCATGATTAATGTAGGTCAGTACCTGTTTACTGTTTTTTTTTTGTATGGTCAGAGTATCTTAAAAGCTTTTAGAAGTTTAGAAAAAAAGGGCTCAAGTGGTAGCATACCCTCCTAGTAGTGCAAGGCCCTGTGTTCAAACCCCAGTACCAAGTAAGTGAGTGAGAGAGAGAGAGTGAGGAGAGAGGAAAAGAGAAGAAAAAAGAAAAGATACCCCTCAAATGGCTTATCTTTTGCCTCTTGCAGAACAGATGGAGAAAGGGGCCACAAACAATAAAAATGCCTGTAGAAAACCAGTAGAAACTACATAAATTAAGAAAATCCATGGACATATCTTCCTAGAATATGAACCATATCAAGTTAGTCTTCAACATTTTAAATTTTACATAATATAGAATTAGCCAAATATAAGAGTCACACCACATTTAAAATTACAGCACAAAGGAATAACTTAAAACCTACAACCGCCTGACACTGTACAATTATTCAAAACCATTAATGAGAAACAGGCTGCCCTAAGGGTTCAGTAATCTATTGCACGGTCAGACTAAGTCTCATAATGATGTCTTATTATATACATGGAGTTTATGAAGGCTAAATTACTTGAAGCTTTAGTTTACAAGGTGTTTCTCTAAAGACTGGTAATTTAGAGTCAATATAAAAAACAGCTCCTATGTCTTACATATGTACATCCATCATACAAGAAAAAAGTACTACAAACAGTCTTGGTATGGCAGAAGGAACCCAGCATTCTCAGGTCTATGCTTTAAACCCACCTTTCCTTTTTACAAGTCAATGTGATGTGCCTTTTTTGAGCCTGAATTTCCCCAAAATTAGTTCTGGTTCTACAACTTTATAATTTCATGTTAAAGATCTAATAAAGAAGCTGTGGGGTGTTTCTTTGAATGCATGAGAACAGGGCCAAGTGAGTAACATAATCTCCTAGTAACATAATCAGGCAAAGCAAATGACAAACAGGAAGGAAGGAACTGACAACTGTCAAGGACATAACTTGCTGAAGACACACTTAGGTGGCTTCACATATATTATTTCATTCAATCTTCACAATAATCTTGTAAGGAAACAATAATCCATTCTTGGCAGATGGGGACTGTGGTCTAAAGATGCAATGACTGACCAAAGTGACACAAAGGTAGATCAGGACTCACCCCCTGCAACTATGTATTCTTTTATGAAAAACATTAATCCTGGCCTTCAATGGCCAAACTTCATCATCACTTCCTTCTGACTTTATCTTGTCTCATAAATGTACACCAGTATCTGTTTTTTAAAGTGCTTTGAATATAAAAAGTACTTCCAAAAAATAAAGCACTCCCCCCAAAATGCTTCCTCTCTAGATATGCCTACTTGGTTAAACCTCACAAATGTCACTTATTCCTCCACTCTTCCAACAACCTCTGCGAGGCAGGCCCAAAGACTACATGTGACCTCTGTCCTAGAGGAGCTCCCTGACAACAAAAAACATCCTTGGGCTACATACAGACTGCTGAGGCACAAAGTAGGTCTTTGTCAGACTGCACTGAACCTGGGCAACTAATGACATGAACAGATATCCTCAGAATTCAGACAAGGTTCTCTGAGAGGTGTTGTAGAAGTATTAAAAACCCAACATATGCTATGCATTACCCAAAACAAGGTAAAGAGTCTTGAACTTGGGTGTGTGGCATTTCATCCTAAGGCAGCACTGTATAAATGTAAATACTACCAAAATGCCTGATTCACTCAAAAATACCACTGCCCTCACTACAACTAAATATTCTGGGAAGATGTTTAATTACTATATTTTCTTGGGGGCAATGGCAGCTTTGTTAGTATTAAGAAAACCATACTAAGTATCCTAATTCTATCGACTTCAAGAATTAATGTTTAATCATCCAACACAAAATTATAAAATGTATATATTACGGGTTGATGGAGTGGCTCAAGTGGTAAGAGTGCATGCCAGCAAGTGTGAAGCCCTGAGTAAAAACCCCAATACCACCAAAAAGAAAACAAATAATGTATTACATAATACATATAATATTTATAATATATTACCAATCAAATAAGGTGAAGCAGGTAGAATCATTAAAAATTAATTAGTATTGGATCTATTATGAAATTTACATTAGGCTTAAGAACACTGTTGCAGCTGAGAGCATAGCTCAGTGATGAGTGCTTTGCTTAGCATGTAAGACCCTAGGTTCGCTCTCCAGCACCACACACTTACATACAAAATCATCTAAGTTACTCAGAAATACAAGAAGGTCAACATTACAACATTACTGTTTCTATGACATAAAGTTGCCTAAAATAGAAGTATTAACATATTTGTTCTGATGGTACAGATTTTGTCTTAAATTCATTTAAATTTAAATTTCATTTAAGTCATTACAGAGGTTGCAGAGTAACGTAGATGCTTCAAATCCTAAGACATGAAGTGATTCTGTTAAGTACTGAGGAGGCACTGCTAATAGGGAAAAACCTTCAGCCCAGCCTTCCCAGATATACATTTTAAATGTTCAGCTACCAAGTATTCTAAGAAAGGTAAGCCAGTAGTTTTCCTTCTCGAGGTACAAGAACCCTATAAACCAGAACCATCCCTAAGAAAGCCCAAGGGAAGACACCCAAGAAATATGTAATACAGCTAAACTATGTGCTTATTCCAGTTTGAAATAAAACAGAAGACAAAATAAACATACCCTGTAAGATTTAGCTGTATTAGCTATGTAATAAAATACTGTATGATTACAATTTTCAAAATATATACAGAAAAAAAAAGCTAACACACACCAAAAAATGGATCTATGGAAATCCTGAGATCGCTAGAATTCTTCTGACCAATAAAAATAAGCATCTATTTTAAATGAAAATAACAAAAGCTTAACTATTTGATTCTGTGTTGGGCATGTTAATTCAGATTAGGCATATTTTGAATAGAACACTTCTAAAAGGAATACAACTTCTTGGAATTTTCCGGCAACTCAAACTAGATTCAATCAACTGCTGAGATGACAGATCTTGTCATCTTGACTGATAATCATAAAATGATGAGTTGTAATTAGCAGTAATTACCAATCTATTAAAGAATTACTTCACTAAGATGGTAATTTTTGCTACCTTGTTAA